AAAGAGTCATCAGAAATTACTATAAAGAGTTGTATGTCAGCAAACAGGGAAACCTATCAGAAATGGATAGATTCCTGGACACATACAACCTACCTAAATTGAACCATGAAAAGACATAGAAAACCTAAACAGACCCATAACTGAGACAGAAATTGAATCAGTAATAAAGTCCCTCCCAACAAAGAAAAGCCCAGGACCAGATAGATTCACTGTTGAATTCTATCAGACATTTAAAGAAGAACTAACTTGGCCGGCTCCATGGCTCACTTGGCTAATCCTCTGCCTGTGGCACCAGCACCCCGGGTTCTAGTCCCGGTTGGGGCACCGGGTACTAGTCTCGGTTGCTCCTATTCCAGTCCAGCTCTCTGCTGTGGCCCAGGAGGGCATTGGAGGATGGCCCAAGTGCTTGGGTCCCTGCACCCGTATGGGAGACTGGGAGGAAGTACCCGGCTCCTGGCTTCGGATCAGCGCAGTCGCAGCTGTGGCAGCCATTATGGACGTGAACCAATGGAAGGAAGACCTTTATCTCTGTATCTCTCTCATTGTCTATAACTCTCATTTGTCTCTCTCTCTCACTAACTCTGCCTTGCCAAAAAAAAAAAAAAAAGAACTAACTCCAATTCTTCTCAAACAATTCAGAACAATTGAAAAAGAGGGAATCCTCCCAAATTCTTCCTATGAAGCTAGCATCATCTTAATTCCTAAACCTGAAAAAGATGCAGCAGAGAAGGAGAATTACAGACCAATTGCCCTGATGAACATAGACACAAAAATCTTCAATATAATTCTGACCAATAGAATGCAACAACACATCAGAAAGATCATCCTCCCAGGCCAAGTGGGATTTATCCCTGGTATGCAGGGATGGTTCAATGTGCGCAAATCAATCAATGTGATATACCACATTAACAAACTGCAGAAGAAAAAACATATGATTATCTCAATAGATGCAGAGAAAACATTTGATAAAATACAACACACTTTTAAAATGCAAACTCTAAGCAAATTGGATATAGAAGGAACATTCCTCAATACAATCAACGCAATTTATGAAAACCCATGGCCAACATCCTATTGAATGGGGAAAAGTTGGAAGCATTTCCACTGAGATCTGGTACCAGACAGGGATGCCCACTCTCACCACTGCTATTCAATATAGTACTGGAAGTTTTAGCCAAAGCATTAGGCAAGAAAAAGAAATTAAAGGGATACAAATTGGGAAGGAAGAACTCAAACTATCCCTCTTGCAGATGATATGATTCTTTATTTAGGGGACCCAAAGAACTCTACTAAGAGACTACTGAAACTCATAGAAGAGTTTGGCAAAGTAGCAGGATATAAAATCAATGCACAAAAATTGACATCTTTTGTATACACAGGCAATGCCATGGCTGAGAAAGAACTGCTAAGATCAATCCCATTCACAATAGCTACAAAAACAATCAAATACCTTGGAATAAACTTAACCAAGGACGTTAAAGATCTCTACGATGAGAATTACAAAACCTTAAAGAAAGAAATAGAAGAGGATACCAAAAAATGGAAAAATCTTCCATGCCCATTGATTGGAAGAATCAATATCATCAAAATGTCCATTCTCCCAAAAGCAATTTATAGATTCAGTGAGATACCAATCAAAATACCAAAGACGTTCTTCCCAGATCTGGAAAAAAATGATGCTGAAATTCATATGGAAATGCAGGAGACTTTGAGTAGCTAAAGCAAGTTTGTTCAACAAAAACGAAGCTGGAGGCATCACAACCAGATTTCAGGACATACTACAGGGCAGTTGTAATCAAAACAGCATGGTACTGGTACAGAAACAGATGGATAGACCAATGGAACAGAATAGAAACACCAGAAATCAATCCCAACATCTACAGCCAACTTATATTTGATCAAAAATCTAAAACCAATTCCTGGAGCTAGAACAGTCTATTCAACAAATGGTGCCGGGAAAATTGGATTTCCATGTGAATCATGAAGCAAGACCCTTACCTTACACCTTACACAAAAATCCAGTCAACATGGATTAAAGATCTAAATCTACGACCAGATACCATCAAATTATTAGAGAGCATTGGAGAAACCCTGCAAGATATAGTCATAGGCAAAGACTTCTTGGAAAAGACCCTGGAGGCAAGGCAGTCAAAGCCAAAATTAACAATTCAGATTACATCCAATTGAGAAGTTTGTGTACTGCAAAAGAAACAGTCAGGAAAGTGAACAGGCAACCAACAGAATGGGAAAAAATATTTGCAAACTATGCAACCGATAAAGGATTAATAACCAGTATCTACAAAGAGATCAAGAAACTCCACAACAACAAAACAACCCACCCACTTAAGAGAAGGGCCAAAGTCCTCAATAGACATTTTTCAAAAGAAGAAATCTAAATGGCCAATAGACACATGAAGAAATGTTCAGGATCATGAACCATAAAGGAAATGCAAATCAAAACCACAATGAGGTTTTACCTCACCCTGCTTAGAATGGCTCTCATACAGAAATCTGCCAACAACAGATGCTGGCAAAGATTGTGGGGAAAAAGGGACACTAACCCACTGTTGGTGGGAATGCAAACTGGTAAAGCCACTATGGAAGTCAGTTTGGAGATTCCTCAGAAACCTGAATATAACCCTACCATACAACCCAGCCATTGCACTCCTTGGAATTTACCCAAGGGAAATTAAATTGTGAAATAAAAGAGCTGTCTGCCCCTCAATATTTATAGCAATTAAATTCACAATAGCTAAGACTTGGAATCAACCTAAATGCCCATCGACAGAAGAATGGATAAAGAAATTATGGGATATGTACCCATAATCATTTGCAACAAAATGGAGGAATTGTCATTTGCAACAAAATGGAGGAATCTGGAAAACATCATGCTGAGTGAACTAAGCCAGTCCCAAAGGGACAAATGCCATATGTTCTCCCTGATCAGTGACAACTAACTGAGCACCTAAAAGGAAACCTGTTGAAGTGAAATGGACACTATGAGAAACGGTGACTTGATCAGCCCTTGTCCTGACTGTTGAGGAACAACTTAACACTTTATTCTTTTTAGTATTTTTTTGTTCTACTTAATACCATTGGTTGAACTCTTTAATTAACACATAATTATTCTTAGGTGTTTAAACTTCACTGAAAAGTGATCCCTGTTAAATATAAGAGTGGGAATAAGAGAGGGAGGAGATGTACATGCTCATTCGGACTTACCCCTAATGGTCAAGCTAGAAACGTGCCAGGGGATTCCACCTCAATCCCATCATGGTGGCATGTACCAATGCCATCTCACTAGTCAAAATGATCAGTTTCAGGGCTGGCGCCATGGCTCAATAGGCTAATCCTCCACCTTGTGGCACCGGCACACCAGGTTCTAGTCCCAGATGGGGCGCCGGATTCTGTCCCAGTTGCCCCTCTTCCAGGCCAGCTCTCTGCTGTGGCCAGGGAGTGCAGTGGAGGATGGCCCAAGTGCTTGGGCCCTGCACCCCATGGGAGACCAGGAGAAGCACCTGGCTCCTGGCTTCGGATCAGCGCGGTGCGCTGGCCGCAGCACGCCGGCCTTGGCGGCCATTGGAGGGTGAACCAACGGCAAAAGAAGAGCTTTCTCTCTGTCTCCCTCTCTCACTGTCCACTCTGCCTGTAAAAAAAAAATCAGTTTCAGTTCACAATTGATCATAACGATATGATTAAGTGCCAAAGGGATCTCATAAACAAGACTAGTGTCTGCTAATACTAACTGATAGAATTAAAAAGGAGAGAACTATCTAACATGGGAAGCAGGATACACAGCAGACTCATAGAATGGCAAATGTCCTAAACAGCACTCTGGCTTCAGAATCAGCCCTTAAGGCATTCAGATCTGGCTAAAAAGCCCATGAGAGTATTTTAGGCATGGAAAGCCAAGACAGTGTGCCAAAAAAAAAAAAAAAAAAAAAAAAAAAAAAGACGTAAATGAAAGATCTCTGTGAGATCTCAGTGGGAAGAACAGGCCATCAAGGAAAGAGGTACCTTTTTCTGAAGGGAGGAGAGAACTTCCACTTTGACTATGGCTTTGTGTAAATAATATCAGAGTTGGCGAACTCAAGAAGATTCCATAGTCTTGGCAATTCATGATAAGAGCCTAGGGTGATCATTGACGTCATAAATAAGAGTGTCAATTGTTAAATCAACAACAGGAGTCACTGTGTACTTACTCCCCATGTAGGATCTCTGTCCTTAATGTGTTGTACAATGTGAATTAACGGTATGACTAGTACTCAAATAGTACTTTATACTTTGTGTTTCTGTGTGGGTGCAAACTGTTGAAATCTTTACTTAGTATATACTAAATTGATGTTTTGTATATAAAGATAATTGAAAATGAATCTTGATGAAGAATGGGTTGGGAGAGGGAGTGGGAGATTGAATGGTTGTGGGTAGGATGGTGGTTATGGGGGGGAAAAGCTGTTATATTACAAAAGTTGTCCTTTGGAAATTTATAGTTATTAAATAAAAGTTAAAAAATTAAAAAAAGAAAAGTTTTTAGATATCAGTTAAGTCCATTGGGTCCATAATATAGATTAGCTCTTTTATTTGTTGATTTTCTGTCTAGATTATCTGTCCATTGATGAAACTGGAGTGTTGAAGTACCCCATTACTATTGTAATGGAGTCTATGTCTCCCTTTAGGTCCATTAACATTTGTTTTAAATAACCATGTGCCCTGGCATTGGGTGCATATACTTTTATTATAGTCATATCTTCCTGTTGAATTGATCTCTTTATAGTTTAAAAACATTTTATAAAAGTTTCAAGTCATTGCCAGTGTGATTGATGCTTATGATTTTGTGCTTGTTTATCAAGAAACATGTTCCAGGAGGATCCTTATAGAGGAGGTTCAGGTAGGAGGAAGCCATTGGGTTCTGTGCCTTCATCAAGAAGCATGTTCCAGGAGAATCCTTATAGAGGAGATGCAGGTAGGAGGAAGGCATTGGGTTCTGTGCCTTCATCAAGAAGCATGTTCCAGGAGAATCCTTATAGAGGAGGTTCAGGTAGGAGGAAGGCATTGGGTTCTGTGCCTCATCAAGAAGCATGTTCCAGGAGGATCCTTATAGAGGAGGTTCAGACAGGAGGAAGGCATTGGGTTCTGTGCCTATTAGTTGCCAGGGATTATGCTGGGTGCTTCTTGTCTACTTTTTTGTTTAATTCTTTAGCAGCTAAAGCTGGAAAATATTCCTCCTCTCATCTTAAAATTAAAGATTTAGGTGCTTTTTAATGATTTATTAAAATTATTCTTTAGATGAAAACTCTCAGTTGTTTTTGTAGCTGTAGTGTAATTATTTGCCAGGTAAATTTTTGTTTCTGAATTTTTCATTTAAATTATGAAACTATTTTCCCCTATTTGGACTGACTCTCTCTCTCTTTTAACTTAGCAAACATTCATATATCAATTGCTTTAATTAGAGAATGTAGTAATTGCAAATATGAACACAAAGAAAACCCCTGCTCTATAGTACAGATAGTTTCTCTTCTCAGTACTAATATTAAACTTATATTTTCATGATTAAATTTTAAGGAAAACAGCCTAAAAAACACTTTTCCATTTTTCTGATTAAGCTGTCTGTCTTCACAGCCAGATTAGGAAACCATGCTGTATCATTGAACATTATAGTGTAGTGCTGACTGTAGTTAAAAAAAAAATAGCCTGATTAGGAATCATCAAGCACAGAAAGAATATGGGGTTTTCCCCAATCTTAAATCATTCTGGCTTAATTAATGAACACAGGGTTCACAGAGTTGACTTATGAGGTCACTTTATGAAGTAATGGTTTATATGAATTTGTGCCTCAGGAATGAAAAAGGTTGGAGGTGATACAGGGGATTCTGGAATTTTTTTGAAAGAAGATGATGGCATCCGGCGTTCACATGTGGAGGCATTAGAGTGAGGAATCTCTATGGGTGGTTTATCATGATGGTACAAGTGATAAGAAATGCAGGATGTGTGTGTATAAACAGGTTTTATTGCCCTACCTTTACTTACATACCCAAAAAGTGCCATTTGTCTTTGCAGACTGTGTATTCCCTAGTATGGTTGGAGATGGAAACATTTTGGCTTCCAAAATATCTCTGAGAGAGGAATTGTCTCCAAGTTAGTATCCTCATTATGGAAGAGTCCTCAGAGGTAATATGTTTTTTTTTTTATTTAATGAATATAAATTTCCAAAGTATGACTTATGGATTACAATGGCATCCCCCCCATACCGTCCCTCCCACCCACAACCCTCCCCTTTCCCACTCCCTCTCCCCTTCCATTCACATCAAGATTCATTTTCGATTATCTTAATATACAGAAGATCAGCTTAGTATACATTAAGTAAGGATTTCAACAGTTTGCTCCCACACAGAAACATAAAGTGAAAAATAATAGATGATTTTTTTTAAATGATGATGAAATCAGATCAGACCTATTGTCATGTTTAAGCCCAGTGAGAGTCAAGTTGGGAATTGATGATTTCTTTTTTCTTTTTACAGAAGATCAGTTTAGTATACATTAAGTAAAGATTTCAACCGTTTGCACCCCCATAGAAACACAAAGTGAAATATACTGTTTGAGTACTCGTTATAGCATTAAGCCTCAATGTACAGCACATTAAGGACAGAGATCCTATATGAGGAGTAAGTGCACCGTGACTCCTGTTGTTGACTTTACAAATTGACACTCCTGTTTATGGCATCAGTAATCTCCCTATGCTCCAGTCATGAGTTTCCAAGGCTATGGAAGCCCCTTGAGTTCTCCGACTCTTATATTGTTTAGACAAGGTCATAGTCAAAGTGAAGGTTCTCTCCTCCCTTCAGAGAAAGGTACCTCCTTCTTTGAAGACCTGTTCTTTCCACTGGGATCTCACTCACAGAGATCTTTTTGCCAGAGTGTCTTGGCTTTCCATGCCTGAAATACTCTCATGGGCTTTTCAGCCAGATCCGAATGGCTTTAGGGCTGATTCTGAGGCCAGAGTGCTATTTAGGACATCTGCCATTCTATGAGTCTGCTGAGTATCTCGCTTCCTGTGTTGGATCACTCTCCCCTTTATTTATTCTATCGGTTAGTGTTAGCAGGTACTAGACTTGTTTATGTGCTCCCTTTGACTCTTCGTCCTTTCATTATGATCAATTGTGAACTGAAATTGATCACTTGGACTAGTGAGATGGCATTGGTACATACCACCTTGATGGGATTGAATTGGAATCCCCTGGTATGTTTCTAACTCTACCAATTGGGGCAAGTCAGCTTGAGCATGTCCCAAATTATACATCTCTTCCCTCTCTTATTCCCACTCTTATGTTTAACAGGGATCACATTTCAGTTAATTTTCAACACTTAAGAATAACTGTGTGATAATTACAGAAGTAAACCAGTCATATTAAGTAGAACAGACAAAAAAAAATACTAAGAGGGATAATGTATTAAGTTGTTCATTAACAGTCAGGGCTATGCTGATCAAGTCACCGTTTCTCATAGTGTCCATTTCACTTCAGGAGGTTTCCTTTTTGGTGTTCAGTCAGTTGTCACCGATCAGGGAGAACATATGGTATTTGTCCCTTTGGGACTGGCTTACTTCACTCAGCATGATGTGTTCCAGATTCCTCCATTTTGTTGCAAATGACTGGATTTCGTTGTTTCTTACTGCGGTATAGTATTCTAAAGAATACATATCCCATAATTTCTTTATCTAGTCTACCGTTGATGGGCATTTAGGTTGGTTCCAGGTCTTGGCTATTGTGAATTGTGCTGCAATAAACATTAGGGTGCAGACCGCTTTTTTTTTTTTGTCAATTTAAACTCCTTTGGGTAAATTCCAAGGAGTGGGATGGCTGGGTCGAATGGTAGGGTTATATTCAGGTTTCTGAGGAATCTCCAGACTGACTTCCATAGTGGCTTGACCAGTTTGCATTCCTACCAACAGTGGGTTAGTGTCCCTTTTTCCCCACATCGTCTCCAGCATCTATTGTTGGTAGATTTCTGTATGTGAGCCATTCTAAATGGGGTGATGTGAAACCTCATTGTGGTTTTGATTTGCATTTCCCTGATTGCTAGCGACCTTGAACATTTTTTCATGTGCCTGTTGGCCATTTGGATTTCTTCTTTTGAAAAATGTCTATTGAGGTCCTTGGCCCATCTCTTAAGTGGGTTGTTTGTTTTGTTGTTGTGGAGTTTCTTGATCTCTTTGTAGATTCTGGTTATTAACCCTTTATCTGTTGCATAGTTTGCAAATATTTTTTCCCATTCTGTCGGTTGTCTCTTCACTCTCCTGACTATTTCTTTTGCAGTACAGAAACTTCTCAATTTGATGCAATCCCAATAGTTGATTTTGGCTTTGACTGTCTGTGCCTCCCGGGTCTTTTCCAGAAATTCTTTGCCTGTGCCAATATCTTGAAGGGTTTCTCCAATGTTCTCTAATAACTTAATGGTGTCAGGACGTAGATTTAGGTCTTTAATCCACGTTCAGTGGATTTTTGTGTAAGGTGTAAGGTAGGGGTCTTGCTTCATGCTTCTGCACGTGGAAATCCAGTTTTCCCAGCACCATTTATTGAATAGACTGTCCTTGCTCCAGGAATTGGTTTTACATCCTTGGTCAAATATAAGTTGGCTGTAGATGTTTGGGTTGATTTCTGGTGTTTCAATTCTGTTCCATTGGTCTATCCATCTGTTTCTGTACCAGTACCATGCTGTTTTAATTACAACTGCCCTGTAGTATGTCCTGAAATCTGGTATTGTGATGCCTCCAGCTTTGTTTTTGTTGTACAAGATTGCTTTAGCTATTCGAGGTCTCTTGTGCCTCCATATGAATTTCAGCATCATTTTTTCTAGATCTGCGAAGAATGTCTTCGGTATCTTGATTGGTATTGCATTGAATCTGTAAATTGCTTTTGGGAGAATGGACATTTTGATGATATTGATTCTTCCAATCCATGAGCATGGAAGATTTTTCCATTTTTTGGTATCCTCTTCTATTTATTTCTTTAAGATTTTGTAGTTTTCATCATAGAGATCTTTAACGTCCTTGGTTAAGTTTATTCCAAGGTATTTGATTGTTTTTGTAGCTATTGTGAATGGGATTGATCTTAGCAGTTCTTTCTCAGTCATGGCATTGCTTGTGTATACAAAGGCTGTTGATTTTTGTGCATTGATTTTATATTCTGCTACTTTGCCAAACTCTTCTATGAGTTCCAATAGTCTCTTAGTAGAGTTCTTTGGATCCTCTAAGTACAGAATCATATCGTCTGCAAAGAGGGATAGTTTGACTTCTTCCTTCTCGATTTGTATCCCTTTGATTTCTTTTTCTTGTCTGATGGCTCTGGCTAAAACTTCCAGAACTATGTTAAATAGCAGTGGTGAAAGTTGGGGTGCTGAAACTTGGAAAATGTGACAATAAAGAATAAAAGTAGTGACTCAAAACAAAAAAAAAATAGCAGTGGTGAGAGTGGGCATCCCTGCCTGGTGCCAGATTTCAGTGGAAATGCATCCAACTTTTCCCCATTCAATAGGATGCTGGCTGTGGGTTTTTTATAAATTGCTTTGATTATATTGAGGAGTGTTCCTTCTATACCCAATTTGCTTAGAGTTTTCATCATGAAAGGGTGTTGAATTTTATCAAATGCTTTCTCTGCATCAATTGAGATAATCATATGGTTTTTCTTTTGCAGTCTGTTAATGTGGTGAATCACATTGATTGATTTGCAAATGTTGAACCATCCCTGCATACCAGGGATGAATCCCACTTGGTCTGGGTGGATGATTTTCCTGATGTGTTGTTGTACTCTATTGGCCAGAATTTTATTGAGGATTTTTGCGTCTATGTTCATCAGGGATATTGGTCTGTAATTTTCTTTCAGTGCTGCATCTTTCTCTGGCTTAGGGATTAAGGTGATGCTGGCTTCATAGAAAGAATTTGGGAGGATTCCCTCTTTTTCTATTGTTCTGAATAGTTTGAGAAGAATTGGAGTTAGTTCTTCTTTAAATGTCTGGTAGAATTCAGCAGTGAATCCATCTGGTCCTGGGCTTTTCTTTGTTGGGAGGGACTTAATTACTGTTTCAATTTCTGTTTCAGTTATGGGTCTATTTAGGTTTTCTATGTCTTCATGGTTTAATTTTGGTAGATTGCATGTGTCCAGGAATCTATCCATTTCTGATAGGTTTTCCTGTTTGCTGGCATACAGGTCCTTGTAGTAATTTCTGATGATTCTTTTTATTTCTGTGGTGTCTGTTGTTACGTTTCCGTTTTCATCTCTGATTTTATTGATTTGGGTGTTTTCTCTTCTTTTTTTTAGTTAGTTGGGCCAATGGGGTGTCAATTTTGTTTATTTTTTCAAAAAACCAGCTTCTCGCTTGGCTGATTTTTTGTAGTGTTTTTTTTGGATTCAATCCTGTTAATTTCTTCTCTGGTTTTAATTATTTCTCTTCTCCTACTAGATTTGGGTTTGGTTTGCTGCAGTCTTTCTAGGTCCTTGAGATGCGCTGAAAGCTCATTTATTTGGTACCTTTCCAATTTCTTGATATAGGCACCTATTGCTATAAATTTGCCTCTCAATACTGCTTTTGCTGTATCCCATAAGTTTTGATATGTTGTGTTGTTGTCTTTATTTACTTCCAGAAAGTTTTTGATTTCTCTTTTGATTTCTTGAATGACCCAGTGTTCATTCAGGAGCATGTTGTTCAGTCTCCATGTGTTTGCATACTTTCTGGGGTTTCCTGAGTTGCTAATTTCCAGCTTCATTCCACTGTGGTCTGAGAAGCTGCATGGTATGATTCTAATTCTTTTAAATTTGCTGAGACTTGCTTTATGGCCTAGTATGTGATCAATCCTAGAGAAGGTTCCATGCACTGCTGAGAAGAATGTGAAGTCTGTAGATGTAGGGTTGAAAGTTCTGTAGATATCTGTTAGATCCACTTGGGCAATAGTGTCAATTAAATCTGCTGTTTCCGTGTTGATCTTCTGTCCGGATGATCTGTCTATTTCTGAGAGTGGAGTATTGAAGTCCCCCAGTACTATTGTATTGGAATCTAAATCTCCCTTTAAGTCCCTTAACATATCTTTTAAATAGACCGGTGCCCTGTAATTAGGTGCATATACATTTATAATAGTTACATCTTCCTGTTGAATTGAACCCTTAATCATTATATAG